CCGACCAATGCAACCTCAATAGTCTATACTACTACTCGTTTCAGGAGGATTCAACGCGTGGTGCAATGAAGAAATGCTCGACATTGCTTCAAACGCTCGCTGTCATCTTGTCACTGCTCATACCATCCACCAATGGTCAGAGGTTCAATGTCATCAATCTGGCGCGGGATACCGATCGATGGGAGCGTGTGAAAGTCGAGCTTATGAAAGAGTTTGACCTTGAAAAGATTCATCGCATGGAAGGAGTTCATGGAAAATCTCTAACTTCCCAGGAACGACACGAAAATGCCTCGCTGGGAGCAAGACTCTTTTGTACAGAAGGAACCATTGGATGCTACATGTCTCATCGCAAATTCTGGGAGCAAGTCGTGGAGGGCGATGAACCTTATCAAATAGTCTTTGAAGACGATGTCGTTCTGACGGACGATTTCCAAGAGCAAGTCAAAGCTCGTATTGAAGAGTTGAAAGGTGCTGTAGGTGCAGAAAACTGGGACGTGCTGATGTTGGGTGCACTTGGATGTGTCAATCCAAACCCTCGAAAGTATGGTTCCTATGTGATTCCAGCATTTGTTTCGGGTGGATGTCGGAAGCCTCGCAAGATTACTGAAAATATTCACATTCCAATGAGACCCTTTGGAACCCACGCCTACATCTTGTCCAAACGTGGAGCAAAGAAGCTATTGGATCGTAGCTGGAGGGCCACCTACCATGTGGATTGTGTGATCTGGGGTATGCGCGATCTCGACCTATACATTGCCCATCCTCTCCTAGTCTACCAAGACAGTTCGCCGTCAACAGTGGGAGCCATCACGTCGGGACCGGAAACCTGGATTCCAAGCAGCATTCAAATGGATGACTACACGAAAATGCGGTTGGAATGGGTTTGGAACGAAGCTGTCATTCGAATACCAGCAATCAATCTTATTATTACCCAAGGGAGGTATCTACTAATTGGTATATTTGGAAGTATCTTTGGAGCCTTCAGGCATAAAAAGGCCCCAAAGTTCCTTCCCAAGTTTCTTTCCATGTACTTTATCTTCATTGTGAGCTTCAATCGAATCATCAATCGTCCCAGAGGTAGATAATAGTTTGAGGTACTAGCCCAAAAAAACTTTCAAGAGGAACAGGGATTATTATCAGTCAATAGACATTTCTCCGTGACTCAAATAGAACATACAATGCAAGCATTGCACAGATTGATTTATTTTGGGGTGAGAATTCTACAAGTTACATTAGGAATGAATGAATCCCCCAAATAATGGAAATCCTCTGTATATATCGAGTGGAAGTAGTACTGCACCCTTTCGACTCCCCAGAAAAATTTATGGGAAGATCCCACGACTGCTTATTCTACTATCTTTGGATCGCCTTCAAGAATCGAATCATCCGAGCGCTCAATCACCACTTTCAAGTTGAACAAGCCCTCTCAAAAAAGCATTCTCTCTACCGGCACCACTGATATCCATGTTCTGGTCCAAGAAACTGAGCAGCAACACTGTGATTGCGTCTCCTGAGACCAATCCTCGGAATCACAGTGGCAATGGGGGCCGATCGCATCAGAATTTGTTGGCTGAAGCTAGAGCGCAGGTTCGGTTTGAAGAAGAAAGCGACTCTGTTTTCATGGCTCTCGCAAACTTTGCCGGTAATGCGATCCTCGCCGGAGTGGCAATCGTGAGCGCTTTTGGAATGGCTACAATTGTGCTTTGTTTGTATCTGATAGTTCGTCCGTTTTCGGTTTCAATCGCAAGGCGACTATCAGCTCAGTTAGGAGCTTCCTCGTGGCTGGATGCTTTATCATTGATCATGCCGAATGTGCAGATAAAACTGACTGGAGACAGTGATATTCCCTCTCCTGTGGGTACTTCGATTTTGGTATCAAATCACATGATGGATGGTGACTGGTTCGCAATTCTAATGCTTGGTAGATGTGTTGGTCTCAGAGGCACGATCAAGGCATTTTTGAGGAATGAAATCCTTAACCTCAACCAACCATCAGAGCGTTCCCTGACAAGAACAAACTCAACATCTTCGACGAGGATGATGAGGTCTCCTTCTCATGTCACAGTAAATGGAAGTCCGCAAAGAACAACGACAAGTAGTGGAACCAGCAATGGTCGCCATCCCCACCCTGTCGACTTGTCATTGGCAGCCAAGTTTTTGCACACCTTTCTCGAGTTTCCTCTTCTCAATGGCGACGACTACATTACAGACAGGGAAAACTTGTTTCAGCTCTTGAGATCCTTTGCTGATAATGATGGCGCTGCAGCTCCAGTGCACCTCCTTCTCTTTCCAGAAGGATGGTCGTTGTATAATGAGGAGAACCGAAAAGATGTTTTGGCACGAAGCAATGAATTTGCCAAACGCGAGAGAAGGCCGCAATTGAAGCATTTGCTGCTACCTAAAACGACTGGTTTTAATGCCAGTCTCGATAGCTTGCGGGAATCAAGCCCTGTAGTCTATGATGTGACCATTGCTGGTCGAGGTTATGATGGGTCCTTGCCACCAAAATTTGACCTCTCCATAATCAGCTTGTGGAATCTATTGCGAAGAGATTACCCACAACAGGTTCATGTCCGAATAAAGCGTTACAGTATGGAGGAAGTTTTGGCTGATTCATCGTGGTTGGACAAGAAATGGGCCGAAAAAGATCGTCTCCTGCATCACTTTGCGAGACATCAATCCTTTCCCGCGGATCGCGGATTCGCTCGATACCGTGTATTTGAATCCAGAACACATTCCATAGAGACATCGCTTGTTTCTTTGTTCCGGCTGCTGTTGGTTCCCTGCTTCATCCCCGTGCTATTGCTACTTTCCATCCCGATCGTATGGACAGTCACGTGGCTTTGGATATTCTATTCATCTTTCAAGATTGTTTTTGGAACCGATGGACGACCTAATGCCAACACTAGTGATGGTGGTGCAACACCAAGACCCGACTCGAATCCTGGTACTCCTTTCGTACCAGCAACACCATTCGCGTCGCCCATGCTCAACTGGTAACGACGTGCTGATCTCGCTGTTGCATACAATTTGTACAAAAGGCTGTATAGTGATCGTGTACTCTAATAGACTAGACAACCGTATCTGTGATGGAACGAATGAAGAGAAGCATAGATTACTACTTTTGTGCCGTTCGTGTCTCCTTCTCCAACTGTGTCAGCAATTTTCCCTCCTTCATCTTTTCCTTGCGCTCGCTGTACCGATTGTTCAAATCATCGGCGACAGGTGCCATGACTGCAGTGAACTTGGCAAACTCTTCGGCACAATCAACGACTCGTTCTCGGAAACTGGAGTCTTTCATCCGACCATCGTCGCCGAATTCCTTCCAGGCTTTGGCCACTGAGCTCTGGTTGGTACAACATGGCATTCGCATCCATCGGGCCAAAAGTCTTAAAGCGTTAACGGCGTTAAAGGATTGGCTACCACCATTGACTTGTGCCACAAGACATGTTCTGCCCTGAGTTGGACGAACCGATCCAGAGTTCAATGGGACCCAGTCAATTTGATTCTTGAATGTTCCAGTCATGGTTCCGTGCATTTCAGGAGATACCCAAACATGTCCGTCACTCCATTGCGTCAAGGCTCGCAACTCTTGAACCTTGGCTTCGTTCTCCAATGCAGGATCTCGCACCGGCAATCCTTGAGGGTTGTACACACGGACATCACAGCCCAACAAGTCTAGGATACGAGCAAATTCCAAGGCAAGCTTTCGGCTAAAGGAAGTAGGGCGCAAGGATCCATAGAGTACCAAAATTCGGGGTGCCCGGCCAATAGGCATCGAGGAGTAATCAAATTTGGTGATAATATCCATCACTTCATCTTTGATCCAACAGGATGGGGCCTCTTTCCCTTCTCCTTCTGGAACTTCCCAGACTCCACGATAGACATTCCATCCACCCAACTTTGTCTCTGGGTCACAATTCAAAGCATATCCAGGATGGTCCAAAGCGGAAAATGAATCTTTTGTCTCGTCATTCCAAACAAAGGAATCTGCGGAAGCCTTGGTTACACTACTCATTGCTGCGGTTCCGTCTAGAGTCGCAATTACGCTGAAGATTCTACACAGAGAAGCGGTATTATTCAATCGACGAGTGCGTGTATGGAGGTGGGTAAGAGTGGCTCGAAGTCGCATCCACAGGGGCCTCTTTCCAATGCTGATGTGTTGAAAAGTTTGAAGGCGACGAATTTAGATGAGGTGGGATGGCATTTTTCTCAATAGATTACACGCGAAGTTCGCGCGTTACAGGACTCAATCGAGTCCTGGACCATTTTGTCGGCAAGCGAGCCAGTCGACCGTTTGCATCACATCGCGTTTCAAAGTAACGACTATTTCGTTGTCCCGCCTACTGTGATGGCGGTAATTCAATCAATTGGCTGGACTGACACTCATCATCAATGCACTGACACACCCCATCTTGGAGTTCAAGACAGAGATACCGACATTCGTTACAATTTACAGAGCAGTTGCAAAAGGAAGAAAGCTTTTGCATGTACAATAATTCAAAACGATGGAGAAATATATGGACAACGATGAATCATTGCTGTTGTGCACACCAAACACCAACAAGAAAGTGAGGTTTCCTTTCTTTGATTTGCCCGAGAGTACAAATAGTGCGTCACGGAACTATGAGTTACAAGGAAGAAGCGCTAAGGATGAAGAGTCTGGGTTGTTCACTCCGCCTCCAACAGGGCAAACAGTCGGCTTTGAAGAAGAGGCGGGGTTTTCGACACCCATCGATCATTCCAATTGGGAATCTGAAATCAGTCCCATTTCAAGAAATCGTGATAGCAGTGGCCAAACTTTGGATGTTTCATCTGGTGACTTGAGAATGACAACGCCACAGCACAACCAAGGAGGGAATATAGAAGACATTGATTCCATGTTGACGGAACTGAAAGACATTATACATCAATCACAAAAGAAGCAAACGGAACGACGACGGAGCTCCAGCTCTCGGCGGCGAAGTGCTGATAGAGATTTTCTGGTGGACGCTCTGACACGACAGCAAGAACCGGGGGGTAATGATTCTGAATGGCCCGTGAGTCCCCCTTGCGAACAAAGCGTAGATGCAGCACCAACATCACCTCAGCGTAGTACCACTCCACCTAACGAGAGTTCAGCACTAAGTTCTGGAATTACGGTAAGACTAGTCTGATCGAATCGTCCAGAACAAACTATTGACTTGCTAGATGAGCATCGAATCACTCATCCTTCTCTTGTTTTTTACTGTCTTTTAGTTTCATGACGACAGCGACGACGTTAGCAGCGCAACAAAGAAAGTGAACGAGTCGTCGAATAATTTCATTCAGCGGATACGGGATGTTGCACACAAGAGAAAGCTCTCTATGACTCGGTCACGAGACAACCTGAGGGCCATGCAAAAAGGAAAGTTGCAACCGTATGATGAAGATGCTGGTGATCATGCTGATGCGATTGCAGATGCCGACACTGATACCAATGTGAAGGCCGTACCAAAAGAAAAGATGCAGAATTATGACGAAGCTGTAGCACAGTACGCTGATACTGAGACCTATACCGGTACAACTGATCATGCTGATATCGATGGTGATGGAGAGGACGAGAGTATAGTGGATGACACCACAGAATCATCGCAGTTAGCGCCGAAGCCTCGGAAATCAACATCAAATCAAGATTTGAACAGAAGCGCCACTGAGTTTCACTTCAAGGCGCGCCCTTTACCTGAAACAACTGGGATGAAAGGGGTAGGAGGTCTGAATGGCATCCCGAAAGTGGCAAAAAGGCCGATAACGACACCGTTTTCGCCATTGCTTGGAGCGCGTCGCCCAGATAAAGTATCAGTGAAAGCTCTGAACGCACCAAAGAAAACAATGCCTGGTCCCAAAAACGAAGAGAAGGCAAAACGAAACTCCATCACAGAATGTCCAAAGACACCACCCCCTGAAACTCCCACTCAATCGATATTCAAAGCTCGTCCAATGCCTTCGTTTGTTGGTCGGAAAGGACAGGGAGGTCTCACTGGGGTTCCAAAGGTTCAAAAGCGACCACTAACAGTTCCCAAATCTCCAATGCTCGGTGTCCGAAGATCATTAAGTGGAAATGAAATGAAGCCACAATTTTGCGGTTGGAAGAAGGCAGTAGAAGAGGGTTCACTCCAGAGCGCCGGCGGAAGCTCTTCCTTTATAAGCAGAGGCTCAGATTTACAGGGACTGGTGGTACTCGGGTCGCCACAGAACACACTCGACGACCGTCACATTGCAAATGATGAAAATCAAATACCACGAGCTCACCACAACATGGCGTTCCAGCCTCAAAGTACAGTTCGAGCAAAACAAAGAGCTGACTACAACGAGAGACGAGACGAGAATATGAAGAGAAAGAAAGAGCAAGATTTCAAAACTCGCCAACGGGAGGTCCGCAAAATGGAAAAGGAACTCATTGCATTAAGGACGAAAATATAGCTGCAGTTGTTACAAATAGTAGAATTAGTTATTGTTGCTATTATCAGTGAGTGTGTAAAAGCTATTGGAAAAGAGATAAGATAGGCTCAATCGATTTTGTCGCGCTCGAAACAATGCCGTAGACATTCAACGCAATGCAGTAGGATTTGAATCATGTGTGGGTGGCAGGAAGGACGGACGATTGGGCGCGAAATGAAAAAAAGGACCATGGTTTTGTGTGATTGATCGTTCACATAATCGAGTGCTTATTCATCATCGCTGTCCTAGGCCAAGAGTCTCTCTGAATCTATTTTCTTCGTAATCACTAGGGTAATTCCTACGAGGGTGACGCCTTGGACATTGAAAAAGAATTGGAGGAATCATAATGTCGGCGGCAAAGGAAACTGGATCACCATCCGCCAATGCATCATCATCAACCTCCGAAGTGCCCTTTTTGGTAACCCATTGGTTGGCCAATTACAACAACAACAACAACAACAACAACATCAGCAATGGTAGCAGTACCGCCAATTTGAGTCCAGAACAAAAGGAAGCTATTGTTAAGATTCGCAAGGCCACTGCGCAAATTGCTTCAGCCTTTACGTCCTTGGGCGCCTTTGGACAATCCATGCCAGTAAGTGGAACCGCCAAAGACAATGATTTGGATCGGACGAGCAAATAAATCAATTCGTGATGATTTCGTGTATGCTTTGAAATGTCAGCCGTCGCTAATGCTTCCTTTTCCACTACTCCCTATAGCCACCTTCCTTGGGGTCCTCGTTTTTAATGCAATCTGAAGCGAAGCACGCCACTTATTCAGATCTGCAACGAAAGTGGGCTGGATTGTCGCCCCTCCATTTAGAGCATTTGGTGCAGGCCACCATCACGAATAACCAATTTGCAGACAATGCTGTCAAAGGACAAATCAATCTTTTGCAAGCTTCGGAGGAATCTACAACGCGTACGATTGCACCAGGTACTGGACGGACGTTGCAGGATGCCATTGCAGTGGACGACACCACCCAAGAGGAACAAAAAGAAGGAGAAGAAGAAGATCTAAGCGAAATTTCGTTTCTAGGGCGAACATCGGCATTGCACCCCCCAGTCTTGATGGCATTGGATCACAGCGCAACCGCTGGAAATGAATTAAAAACTCAGGACGCTGGAGAATCATCATCATCATCATCATCAACTGCTCTGCAAAAGGTGCCAGTATCCTCCACTTATTCTAGTGCCCAGCATGTCGCATCCGATGTCATGGAACAATATCTGACAGTTCGAGAAACGGTCCGAGTGAATCAGCTTGAAGTTAAAAGGCTGCAAAAGGCTCTTGCCAAGCAGGAGCACACTTCCAAAATTCTAACGGAGCAATTTCAAAGGATCACCAACGATGCGGAAATGGAACCGGCCGATAAGATACAGCAACTAGAAGAAATCAAGAAGAAGCGAGAAGTTCCAGGTCGTGTCATTACACAGTTGCGACGAAAACTCGAAGAAGTCCAAGAAATACTGGCCAAGTCCAATCCTGAATTATCAAAACTGGAACAACAGATACACACCAAGAATTCGCACCGTCAAAGGTTGCTCCAAAACTATCGCGATCCCTTTTATTCTTCTGGCAAGAGAGGCATTCTGGGTGCGGTTTTGGGACGTCAGCATGGAATGGTGCGAACACGGGCTGGCACATCAAGTGCTCGAACAATCTTTCGTGGAGAGTTCAACCCCAGTCACTTTGAAAACATGCGAAAGGCCTTGTTGTCTCGGCGATTATCCCATGCAGCCACCATTAATGCCCACTTGACGTATCCAGTGTATTGCCTTCGATTTGACCGAACGGGCCGCTATTTCATTACGGGGGCTGACGACTACCTCATCAAGGTCTTTTATTTGGGAGCAGGCCAATCTTGTATCAGAAAGGATCCAACTGATGGCAGCCGACAATTGAAATGTAACTATGGTGCCAACCTTCGAGGGGCAGTCTTGGTTTGTTCTTTGCGGGGTCACGCCGGTGTGATTAATGATATTGATATCTCCGCGGACAATTGCTTGTTGGCAACCGCTTCTGTGGACGGAGATGTCCGGGTCTGGGGGTTGCGGGACGGCTGTCCTATTGCGATCTTGCGGGGACACAAAGGTGGTGCGAATATGGTGTCCTGGTCGACGCTGACACCCTATCGGTTAGTCAGTACTGGGTCCGATGGCTATGCTCGACAATGGGATGTACGACAGGCATGCCTCAAGCGATATGGTCGAGTTGTGGGAAAGCGAGAAGAATATCGACTGCGGCTTAATGCTCGAGAAAAGGAAGCTGAAGATACTAGGAGACGGAGTGGCAATACCTTTCAAATACGATCGCCAGCCTTGCTTCCACCATTGCCAGTTCGAGAAGGTGCTCCAGCTCCAGCTCCAGCTCCAGCAGTAGCCCCATCCCCACAAGCAGCGGCTCGAGAGACAAATCAAAGAGCTTCGCCCACTGGTAGAGTTGTAGTTCCACCATTGCCTGCAGATGTGCCACCGCTACCAGCAGCTGCAGCCCCACAACCAGTGGCTCGAGAGAATAATCAAATGGCTTCGCCTCCTGGTAGAGTTGTCGTTCCGCCGTTGCCTGCAAATGTGCCGCCGCTACCAGGCATGGGAGGTAACAATGCTGGCCAAAACAATGGGGACGATGATAATACTCCTGGTCAATTCGTTGCGAATGATCTTTTGGATGAAGGCGTGAAGTTGTTGGCCAAGTTCAAGCACGGAACAACGGGCGAGGGTGCAACAGGACCAGGGACTCGCGCCAGAACTGCCGCAGTCAAGGTCATTTGTGTGGCCCGTAGTCCTGTGGGAGGTCACTTTACCACGGGATGTGATGACGGTATTTGTCGGGTTTGGCCCGACAGCGAGGATCTGCGGGTAAAGGTCGTTGATCAACGAAAGCTGAAGGGGATGAACAATGCAAGAGAAAATTCTGCCCCACGCAAGGAACGATCAAACCCGGTCGACCAACCGTTGTTGCAATTGATTGGCCATGTTAGTGCCATCACCGATCTTTCTTACTCTCACGCTGGTGAAAGAATTCTCAGTGCCAGCCAAAAGGAAGGGGTCATTCGAATTTGGTCAATGCAAGAGAAGCTGCTAGAATTGGAAAGCCAAAGCAGCGGATCCAACGATACCCGAATCCGGCATATTGTAATAAAGCTGACAAACCCAGGGTCCTCTGGTGATTCGTCGGGGTCCTCACGGCGCCGTCCTGGCCAAAGCTCGCAACGAAAATCATCTAGAGTGTCTTGTGATGCCGCAGTATGGTCGCATGATGACTCAAAAATGTTGACATCCCAAAGTGTTCTTGTCAAGCAAAATGGCACTGAAGTCCAACCTGGATCACAATACTTGTTCGTATGGGACAGTCTTACTGGTCAATGTCTAATCGGAATCTCAGGAGCCCACTCCATGCAATGTCCTGTCGTCATTCCTCATCCTGCCGATGCTTCACTTGTTTGCACAGCAGGAGCTGATGGCGAGGCTAAGGTCTGGGATTTGGAATCTGGAAGTTGCGTCTTCACGCATACCAACAAAATTGAATTCGGTCCTTCAGTGGACCCTGCAGATAGAAACAAGGTTGCCGGGTATTTGGATGGATACTTTTCTCCGGATGGTACCACAGTTGTCCTGACTGACGACGATGGTAGAATAACGATATTGGACTGTTCGACTACTATGGGAAGGAATACTTCAAGTTGGGTACGGGAACAGTATTTTGCAAACGACTACTACGAGTTGAAATACGACAGAACAGGATATTGCATTGAAAGGGGATCAGAACGACCACCACATCTTGCTCCTAGAGGAGTTCGCTGCACTCATTCAGGCACTCCATATCCCGATGAAATCAACGAAGCGTTTGGCCGTAGCCGTTTGATTGGACCGATGCCATTGTCAGAGAAACTTTGTCGTTGGCGCCGCAACCAAATTCGAGGAAAATCAAGTTCGTTAGAGAAACAGATAGTGCCTGCATCTCAATCTGGCTTCGGTGTAGCGATTCGTCGCGGAATCAAAGAATTCGATGCGAACTCTACAATCATTATTCGAGGGTCCTGTCACGTTGAAGTTGAGAAGAGTGATTCTGTAACTCAACCAATACAGAGCAATGAACGACAAACCACGAGCCCTTCAGGAAATGGATCATCCAATAATAATTCACAGAGGAGCCTTTCCAACAACTTTCAGTGGCGAGATTACGAAGACATGCTTCATGACCAAGGAGACGATGACATTGATTCCCAGGATGAAGAATTTGAGCCAACTTCAAGAGGCAGACGCCTAAATGATGATGGGGAGAACTCTGATGACGATGATGATATTGACGAAGAAATGTACGATGTCGAAGAAGAAAATGATTCATCTCGTCGCAACTCTAGGCGAAGACGCAGTCAGGGACTTGTTGAGGAAAGAAGGAGTAGAAGACGGAACAGGCGACAAGACAGTCAATTTGTGGACATTGGTTCGGATGATGAGGAAATAGCAGAGTTCATGAGCACCAACAACACGCCTTCTGGCGACTATCTGCGAGACTTCAACATAGCCGGCCATTTCTGGAGGCTTTCTGGAAGCCGAAATGTGAAGCGTTCGTGGCTCAAGCGTTTTGAAAGTGACACGTCCTACAAGGGCCTGAAGACATATACGCCGCAGCTCGGTGATTCGGTGGTATATATTCCCCGAGCTCATTACGAGAGCATCAAAGACTTTCCCAGCTTATCCCCTCCTTGGCAAAGATGGCCAGATGGTGCTGTTTGGCCCATCGTCAGATGTCGGATTCGCGGTATTCGCTACCGATTTCCATATATCGACTATTACAGAAGAGGAAGGTAAGTATTCAAATGATTCGATCCATTGGTTCTTTCCACATCTAACTGCCATTCTCCACAGTACCTCTTGCACAAGCATTGTTGCAATCCTGACGCTGGAGGTGACTGGTATCCCTGAACTGTCCACTGATCGCGAATTCCCTTGGCCTAAGCCTTCGTTTGTCCAACCAACGAGGAAGAATGTTTTTGAGGTACGTCTAGCCGTGTCACCTTTCCCTTTCTTGCTCTGTACGCTAACAGCACTTCATATTTTGCACAAATAGTTGAGCCTCTTTGAGATTGAGCAAAGCGAGTTTCTTTTGCCCGAGAATCAATACTTGAAGAGGATGCTGTCACTGGAGACAGCGGTGAGGCAGAATGCAATGGATTTCAGTGGGCTGGAGGTCACGGTTTGCTACGCCGAGAATGGCGATGATGCTGAATTTGGCACCTATCCAGCGAAGATTGATGAACTTGAAGAAGAAGAAGATTTTGCTCATGCGAGTCTTAGAGGAAGTGGTTTTGGTACTTTGAATTTGACTTGCCAAGGATTCACTTCTCAATTCAGTCCATGGGAAATTGAAGCTGCCAACACAGAAATTGATAGACCCAGTCTAAGTGATGAAGAGAAGAAACTCGTCATGGACAATTTGAACGAACAGCTCAAAAAGAACGAAGTTAGAGAGTACTTCAGCCGGCGGGTGAATCAGGTTCGATACTCTGACTACTGGAGCATGGTGGAGGTCGAAATGAGCTTGTTCTTCATTAAGCGTCGATTGGAAGCAAATTACTACGGTTCGAAGTTGAGTGTAGTTGGTGATGTTCGCCTCATTCGGGACAACTGCATCAAATATAATTCTATGGAAAATGAGCTCTCCGGAATCGCATGTGAGATGTGTGATGAATTTGAGAGCAAAGTATTATCTGAGACTGAGAGAGTTCAGCTCATCACCGAAGATGAATTCAACAATCTCGTGAACTCTTCTCAAGCGTCAGAAACCTCGGTTCGCTTACGGGCACGTGACTCGCGGCGACCTTCGTCATTGGAGACTTTGCCGCAACCTGGGCTTTCCTCTCAACGCAGATTATTGCAAAATGAAGGAGACGCCTTCAGACCACGTCGGTCAAGCAGGTCTCTTGACACCAATCCAGGAACAGAGGTCCTCGGCCGAATGACAAGGCGCCGAGGTGGACCTCTTCCATCCTACAATGAAGATGCAGACAACGATGATGATTTTGATAGACCGGAGGAAGAGGAGAGTGGAAGAAGAAGTAGTTCACGAAGATCAAGAGGAGGCGACAATGATCATGTATCACCCACGCGAACTCAAAGAGCGAAGCGAGTCAGGTATAACGTGGGCGATGCTGGTGAGGAATCAGATGAAGATGAATACAATTCTCCAGAGGATGAAAGTTCTGAGGAAGCCGACGATGACGCTTTGTCGGAGGATGACTTGGATGACGTCCAAGCGAGAAGATCTAATGGCAGAAACTCGGGGAGGTCGTCGACAAGAATACGAATCAACCAAAGATCTAATTCTAGATCAAGTTCGCCTAAACGGCCAATGAGATCGAGACGAAACAACAGTGCATCCGTGTACCAGGACGTCGACTCGGACATTGACATGGAGGAAGAAGTTGAGGCGCCAGTGAAATCACGGAGACCGAGTAGAAACAACAAGGCGTCCGTGTACCAAGACGTTGACTCGGAGGAAGGCGAATCTGACGAGGAAGAAGTAGTGGCACCAGCGAGATCACGGAGATCGGGCAGAAACAACAGGGCGTCGAAACCCAAAGACGTTGACTCAGATGAAGACGCATCTCACGAGGAAGAACCCGAAACTCCAACGAGGTCACGGAGATCTAGAGCAAACAAGACATCAGTCTACGAAGAAGTTGACTCTGATGTCGACTTCGAAGAAGACGAAGAAAACAATGACGATGATTCGGAAGACTTTGAAGCTGATTATGCGAAGGGGAAGAAAAAGGGAAGTAGAGGAACAAGGTCAAAGTATTTCGAAGATTCTGGATCCGACAGTGAAGAGGAGCCAAGCAGAACATCCAGGAAACGATCAGGTAGGTTAAAAACTGTGGCACACGTGCTAATCTCACTGGGAATCCAAGAATCACATGATCTAACTTTCTTCTCTTAGGTGGTGCTACTAGTACAAAATCAATCAAACGAAGAAGACGAAGCAGCGAGAACAAGACCCAGGAGCTTCCTAAACTCAGTGATTGGCCAGAGATTCCCATCAAGGACATATCGAGCGTGGCAAGAGGCATTATTGGGAAACTTGAAAACTTGGACACGGATGACACTTTTGCCATTCCTGTGCTTGAGTCATATCCAGATTTGGCAAACGATTATCTGACGATTGTTGACGTTCCAATGGATCTCCGAACTATCCGAGAAGAGCGAGTGCCTCTTTACGAAAGCATCAAAGAACTTCAGAAAGATTTGATCCTCATGTTCAAGAACTGTTGTGATTTTAATGAAACGGGGACAGATCTATGGAACTATGCAGCGTAAGTTGATTTTTGAAGTATCGGACGTTTGACGATTCCATCTCTCACCTAATTTTTGGTTTTCTTTTCCTACCAGAACCATGTGGACCGAATTGAACCAAATATTTGTCGATACTTGCGGCTCCCTCAACGTCCTTCTCCCACGTCGATGGACACCATGAAAAACCATTCTTATTGGGTTGCATGTGTTTTCGAAATCATTGTGTGGATCTACTCTCTGCATTATTACTTTTTTACATAAAAGAGTGGTCAACGTATTTTTAAAATCAATTTTTTACACAAGGCGCTACTTTTACACATCTTTGTCATGATGACACTGGGAGGAGATGTTGTTGTGAATCAATCCAGATCTTGCATCAAGGATTGCATCTCAATCTCTTGCCGCTTTGTTGGAGTCGTTCGTTGCCGCAATCCTAGTCAATCCAAATCCCCCATGTCGGTCTGTTCTTTTGACGGAACAGTGTCCAAAAGGTCAACTGGAGTAGCGGCACTACTTTCAGCAGTCTTATTATCTGCATCTAGATCCGTCGTTGGTGTCGTGTTGTTGGACCCTCCTCCCAGTTCGATATCCACTTCTGGTTTGTTGGTAGACGGAGGTGCGTAATCCGTGGGTATTATCGTGGGCGAGTTCGCAGCCGTGTCTGGTTCCGTCTCGCCACCAAAGGCTGCCGTAGTATTAAATAGTTCTGCATCCTCTGGTTGTTCAGAAATACCAAAGATGGCGAAACCGAGACAGCACAGTATTATGCCAGCCTGAAAAGTATAGCGGTTTGTTAGTTGTGGTGTTGCGGTGAGGTTGAATGAATAAATGATTGCATTGCAGATATTGATTGTAGTGATATATATGATGAATATGAACGTACCACGAGCAAAAAGGGAGAAATGATCCAAAAGGATGAAAACGTGGCACCTTGAAGCTTTGCCACAAATAGACACACCAGCACCAAAACGAATCCTTGGGAGCAGCATTTGGTACACAAGTTGGAGGCGTGGACCATGACTTCGGCTTTAAGATTTTCTCGCTCATCCTCGGTCAAGGGGGTTGGCGGAGACGCTCCTCCTCCTGCTGCATCCGGCGTGGCAGTACCATCCACTCCAACCGCTCCATAATCGGTACTGGTATTGAGCGGATCTCCTTCGATACCGAATAGTGTGGGATCCTTTTCCGCAGCTTTCTTTTGTACTTCTGCAAACGTTTGGTAGTTATTCAAGCAAACCAAAACGGAAATCACCCATACTGGCAAGAAAACGAGCCACCAGCTCAAGGTAAAGCTTCCACCAAGTTGTAGCAGTAAAAACAAACTGAAAATGAATCGAAAGGCGCTCTTGACCAGTTCTTGTCGAGCTGCACTCTTGGCTCGGATGGCTTCTTGGAAATCTTCCCCTTCTAAAGACGACACAACCGCATATCCTTCCTTGACCGCTTCCTTTTCTTCTTCTGTAAATTCAGCGGTTGATTTTCCTAAGGCAGCTTCCAAGTCTGCAATGGTCACAATCTTCATTTTCGTCATGGGCCATTTCTTGTAGACGGACATAAGCTCCCACAAGTAATATGGCAAAAATGCCATCAACCAACTTCCTCCAAAGGAGTCGTCCAACTTGAGAGTGGCAAAGATTTCGAAAAGAGTAAGCAAGCCAAATCGAAAGAAGGACATGTATCTCTTTGGCATTGGAAGGGGATCCGACCATTCTTCTTCTGGGATGTGTTCCGGTCTCTCAATGGGTCCCATCATGATCAGTCGAACATGATAAAACACCAAAAAGCCGTCCCAAATCCACAGGGGTATAAAGGTTGCAAACCAGGAAGCATTTTCTCCAAAGGATCCGTCCAAATGCAAACAAATAAAGATAGGCAAGAGAAGAATAGCCACTGCCACTGCCACAAAAATGGCAAAAATCTTGGCCCTATCCACAACAGAGGACTTGCTAAAGTTCGTGGCCAAATCTTGAGGATCAATGCTGAACGGCTCGTCAATCCATTTCATTCCTCTTGCTCCTATAGCATCGTAGGTTTCTCTCTTATGTGGATCACTGAGCACCTCGTAGGCTTCCTTCATTTTGGTGAATTCTGCCTGAAGTTCATCCGTCACGGTTTGACCTCGTTGGGCCAGTTTGTCGGCTATATAGGTGCAAGTAAGTAAGGACAACGAATGAATGAATGAATCAATCGGTTAGAGTCAAGCAGCATATACAACTCAACTCAACTCAACTCAAGAATATAATAAAATACTCACGATGCATTTGGAGACTCTTTCTTTTGTAGGCTTTCTTCACGTCCTCCGCACTCGCATCTCGTTCCACGCCCAACAAATCGTAATAATTGGTTTCAGATTCATCGTCACCCAGAAACGACTTGCAACAAAACACGAAGAATGAAAGATCCAATCTCATGATTATTGTTGTTCGTTGTTCTTTGTTGTTTGTTGTATTGGGTAGTAGTACTGTACTGTTGCTAGTTCCCGTACTCTTGCACCACGACTTCGGTCCGTCAACTTCTCTGTTTTCGTTTTTCCACTTTCCATTCACAAGCCTCTCATTCTGTTGTTCGTCTAGGAATGAAACAGCTTCACTTAACGGATATATTTTTGTTCATTCCTCAATCCTCAGTGCTGTAGATATTTTATTATCGCAAATGGTCCAAGTAGTCGAATACTCAAGTACTATTCTAGTTCCCTGCACAAACAGCTGTCCGTCAATCGACCATCATATTGATTTCAGATTGACTTCCATCTTCCATCCCGTTGTTGTTATTCCAAGCACATTTAGAATACTTTCAGTGCTTCTTCCTTTGCAACTACTGATTTTACAATATAACCCCTATAAGCAGCATGACCAAAAAGGCATACATGACAATCCAAGCGGGGAATGCGCAGCCAGAGCGTCTCGATTTGGTGTTGTATCATGATTCGGTCCCACGTACTGTGGCCAATTTCTGTCACTATTTGCAGGCTTCAGACAATAAGGGATACAAGAATTCAACCTTTCATCGCATCATCAAAGGTTTCATGGCCCAAGGGGGTGACTTTTTGAATTCCGATGGAACGGGTAGCACCTCCATTTATGGCAAGACCTTTCCAGATGAAAACTTTTTGCATCGACACCTTCAACCTGGAACCCTGTCTATGGCCAACAGTGGAAAAGACACCAATGGGAGTCAATTTTTCATTACCTTTCGTCCAACACCACATTTGGATGGAAAACATGTTGTCTTTGGACATGTAGACTTGAGCACACCAGAGAGTCTAGCCACATTGGAACGATTGGAGGCTGTGCGAACAGTCAGGGATGACAAGCCACACAGTCCGGTTCGAATTGTGGATTGTGGTGTTGAAGAGGAAGAGGAGGAAGAGGAACCAGAAAACAAACATCAAGAAGTGGCAAGCGTCAAGACTACCGACACTATTCCAGAAGAAGAAGAAGAAGATTCAAACGAGTTGGAATTGCCAGAATCCGAAGACGAGGAACCACCCAAAACAAAGGCAGAAGCCATCAAAAGAAGGATGCGAAAACTCAAACTCAAAATGAATCAAGCTCGACAATTGAACAAGCAAGAAGTTTTAAAGGAGGGAGAGCGCTTGACTAGTGTTGAGGGCGCGACAGCCGTTCGCAAGCGGCAAATCAGAAAGGATAAGAAGATGAACGAAGCGGACTGGAAGGCAAAAAATTCCAAGGCATTTGGTGTAGCTGCGGCTCATGGTATTGATGGAAAACACTTGGTGCAACAAGCGGATTCAAGTCTCAAAGCAGCCTTTAAAAAGAAGGCCAAGGCCAAGGCAAATCGATTTGAAATGCAAGATTATTACAATTCCGAAGGTCAGCATCGAAACTACGAACGAAATCTCAAAAGTCTGGTAACGGCAGCTGCACCTCTGGACGATGCACACAATTCTACCGAAACCTTTAATCCAATTGCTGTGAACAATGCATCCGACGAAGCAAGAGAGCGAGCGGGAGCCCGTAATTTGGCAACCGAGATGAAACGAAGAATTGAAAAGCAGGCCAAGAAGAAGAGGGAGAGGATGGAGTTTGAAGAAACTGACGTCAGTTATATCAACAGTAGAAACAAGAGATTCAATCAAAAGATTAGCCGCAACTTTGACAAGAGCACTGCCGAAATTCGGCAAAACTTGGAACGGGGAACGGCGCTGTAGCCTTTGAATTTCATAATCTATCAATTGGTCTTTTGCTTCTACAGCTCCTCAATGGTGGATGCAGGAAGCGGGGAAAGTCGAGCCAATGACTACATAATTCTTGCATTCTAATAAAACTCATATATAAAATACTATTATTTCAAGTTATTCTGGGCTGGTAGCTACTGCTAGACTTTTCCGTCAAGCCTATTTTCCCTTGTGTGTGCTAGGGCTGCGTAGTCACCAATTTTTGTCCATTCGAATCAAGTAGATTCGCGGCAGGTACATTTTCACTATCTAGCTCTCCATTGCAATTGGCAAAGTAATTGGGATCAGGAAATCCATGCACTGTACTATCTGGGTGTGTCTTGTGGTGAATGGATGACCAAGTACATTGGTTGGTAGCACCCGTCGTCATGGATGTACCAATCGTAAATGTCAATCCATGGAGAAAAGCAAACTTGAGTCTCTTGAGAAGATTTCGACCGTCAGGGTTGTTTGGGAGGTAGGCAGTTGCATGCTTGTCCGGGTGGGGTTGTCCTGGATTCTCGTGGTAGTGCTTTTGGGTTCCTGCCTGCATGGAGTACACAATCACAATCGTGTCCCAAGCCGCAAATCCGCTGCACTTCAGATTATAGGTGATACTGATAGACATGGAACCAGATGGCGATTTTCCAAGCGGCGTTCCGATGCATTTGCGACAAGTTGGACATTTGGAACCGAACTTGCAAGCTTGCTCGATACAGTCTTTGTGAAATACATGGTTGCATACCTTCAAAGCGACACAGCACGAAGGATCGGAAAGGGCATCGTGACAGATAACACAGTCACTCTGAAAGTTGCACGATGAAGGAGGAAGGCAGAAGGCTTCGTTTGGGTTGACAGCACCAGAGAGCCTTTCTGGAGCAATGTATCCAACTACAGCTTGTTGCATTGTTCCATTTTGGGGATTGAGTCTGACTGTAGCCCCGTATCTATGAGGTATGGCAGAGCTTGAAATGGTTGTGGAAGCTGAACCCGTACCAAAAGCCCTACCAACACCCACACCAAAAGGCTGGGCAATGGGAGGAATCCCACCAAGTACAGTTTGTTTCTTTGTACCATTGACATCAAGTAGGTTTGCTGCAGGGACATTTTCGCTATCTAGCTCTCCATTGCAATTGGCAAAGTAATTGGGATCAGGAAATCCATGCACTCCGCTGTTGGGCGACGTCTTGTGGTGAATGGAGGACCAAATACATTGGTTGGTAGCACCCGTCGTTATGGAGGTACCAATAGTAAATGTCAATCCATGGAGAAAGGCAAACTTGAGTCTCTTGAGTAGGCTTTGACCGTCAGAGTTGTTGGGAAGATAGGCAGTTACGTACTTGCCAGAATGCGATTGTCCTGGATTCTCGTGGTAGTGCTTTTGGATTCCTGCTCGTATGGAATATGCAATCACAATCGTGTCGCAGTTTGCAAATCCGCTGCATTTCATACCATTGAAGACAGGAGGGATCATGATAGACATGGATCCCGATGGTGATTTCCCAAGCGGCGTTCCGATGCATTTGCGACAAGTGGGACATTTGGAACCAGACTTGCAAGCTTGCTCGATACAGTCTTTGTGAAATACATGGTTGCATACCTTCACAGCGACACAAGACCGAGGATCGGAAAGAGCATCGTGACAGATAGCACAGTCAATTTGAAAGTTGCATGATGAAGGAGGAAGGCAGAAGGCTTCGTTTGGGTTGACAGTACCAGCGAGCCTTTCTGGAGCAATATATTGAAATAGACCTTGCTTCCTTGGTCCATAATGTATTGGGCCTGGGAAATTTGTGGAAGAAGGGTCTGTATACCGGTAGCAAGTCAGTGGTGCTCCGGTCAAGCCTGGATTGAAAACTTGGTCGAGGATCGCTTGCAGCGATCTGGTTAATCTTTGGATGAAATCTTGCCCTTCTTGAGATCCAACTAGCCCCATGTCGTACTTAATCATGGGCAAGCATTGGGCAGAGGTCTTGAGGACGACGATTTCGCGATCGGGCACAAGAACAGTGTTGGCACCATCAGTAGTTTGTTGCCCAAACGTTTTCATAGTTCCCAGTAAACGACCGACGATCAGTCCAGTGTTACCATAGCCCGCAAACTTTGTTGGACTGTTCCCAGTATAGACACCGTCACCATAAGTGCTGCCATGGAATCGGTGAGCTTGTATTCCTTGCGAATCTCGTTCGTTCCTGGTCATGAGACCATTTGTACGAATGCTGTTCAAATTTGTGGAATCGGTATAGTGGTATCCGATATCAACAAACCCGAGAATCCCAGAAGCAAGAAATTCGCGCTGCTTCTCCAATAGATTTTTGGCCAAGAAGACCATATCATCGGTGCTCACCGAGTCAAAGTTCTGAGCAAAGTTGGGATACTCGTTCTTGGCTTGGTCCTTGGTATTTTTGGTCAGTTCCAGAATCTCCTGAACCACAAGGACGGCTTTACCATAGGGGGACTTGGTCATTGCTTCATGTTCCTTCTCAGCATCTGCCTTCTTGAGCTGATACTCCTGCTCTTGTATAGTAGAAGCTAGTTGATAGTCCAATTTTCGCTGCGGAGACGAAGAGAGAGATGGAATGTTTAGGTTGAGATTTTGTATATCTTGGTTGGTCTGTCGCCGCTTTGAATCCGTAACATTATCAACTCCAGGTTGGTATCGGCACTTGCTGGGTGTAGTAGGAGGAGAAGTTGGCAATGCTGCGGGCTTGCAGTCATTGTTAGTACCAACCACGGTTGCCTTCTCTTTCATCCTTGTTGAAATTTTTGGTGTCTCTCCTTCGCCTTTAAGGTACACATGGGGATCGACGTCTGAGTCTATTGCAGTGGGTGGGCTCTTCCTATTGCGCGCTACGGCGTTAGTGTTCGCTGTATCTTCTGGAGACTCTTTTGTTATTTTGACCGCAGCGTTTTTGGATCCTTCTGAAGCCTTCTCGCAGTTACTGAGAGACGCAAGGAGACCGTCATCTGAAGAGTCAAATGTAGGTCTCTTCCGATTGGCAGTCGCAGCTACCGCATTCGCTGACGGTGGATCCAAAAAAGATCCTTTTTTGGATCCATCTTGAGATTGGTGTTGCCACTGCTTTCTTTGTCTATGAGACGGCAATGCGGCCGGCTTGCGGTCGTCCTCGCTATCAGTCGCTTTCGACTCCTCGTGATTGCTTGGCATCATTCTTCAAGCAATAGTCTTCTGCCTCTTCATTGCAAAGATCCACTTTTTGAGCCATCCTCACAGTAGGTGGAGTGGGCTATGTGACCATGGGGTCATACAAGGATGGGCGTCACAGATTCTCTACTTTGAAAAAAATAGTATCAACGGATCGGCATTTTTCAAACGTGCCATACCACAAGGTCGGTCACGTGGAATAGTAGGTATTGCAGCAATAACAACCCATTCATCTTGGAGAAAAACTCAGCCATGACAGCTTAGTTTATCGAAACTGGTTGAATTGATTTGTTGTTGATGCATAGTATCTTCCTGTTACACGACTGACTGATGTCACTGTTACCTGCTTGTGTCACCTGTCACCCTCAGATGGATTTCGCAACCGTGCCTACAGTAGTACCTAGCAAATCTCAGATTTCCCGCTTTGTACGGGATTTCTAAGACTAGATCGGGCTCCCTTAAAATACAAGGAAGATACAATTTCGAAATTGAAAACCACAACAGGACTGGTGCATATTAGTTCTTGCTAAAGTCATCCTATTATTTGAAGCTATTCTGGTACTACTATTGGTAGACTTGTCCATCTTTCCTATTTTCTAATGCTGCGTAGTAACCAATTTTTGTCCATCGACGTCAAGTAGATTCGCGGCAGGTACATTGGCGCTATCTAGCTCTCCATTGCAATTGGCAAAGTAATTGGGATCAGGAAATCCATGCACTGTACTATCTGGGTGTGTCTTGTGGTGAATGGATGACCAAGTACATTGGTTGGTAGCACCCGTCGTCATAGATGTACCAATCGTAAATGTTAATCCATGGAGAAAAGCAAACTTGAGTCTCTTGAGAAGATTTCGACCGAAAGTATTGTTTGGAAGGTAGGCAGTTGCATGCTTGTCCGGATGGGGTTGTCCTGGATTCTCGTGGTAGTGCTTTTGGGTTCCTGCCTGCATGGAGTACACAATCACAATCGTATGAAAACTCGGAAATCCGCTGCACTTTAGCTTATTAGTGATACTGATAGACATGGAACCAGATGGCGATTTTCCAAGTGGCGTTCCGATGCATTTGCGACAAGTTGGACATTTGGAACCGAACTTGCAAGCTTGCTCGATACAGTCTTTGTGAAATACATGGTTGCATACCTTCAAAGCGACACAACACGGAGGATCGGAAAGGGCATCGTGACAGATAACACAGTCACTCTGAAAGTTGCACGATGAAGGAGGAAGGCAGAAGGCTTCGGTTGGGTTGACAGCACCAGAGAGCCTTTCTGGAGCAATGTATTGAAGTACAGCTTTTCCGATTGTGCTGATTCGGGGATTGCTTTTGCCTCCAATCAAATATCTGTTAACTGCGGCAGGGCCTGGGAGGTTTTTGAACGATGATCCGGGACCAAAATATTGGGTAGGAGGAGGCCCACGATTGGAACTGACAAATGAATTCTGTGCAATGAATGATGGCGGCACCGTCGCATTTCCACCACGCGCATTGCTTGAAGCTGTTGCTACATTCCAAGGCGTGGGTAGTACCGGTGGTCCTCTCAAGCCTGGATTGAAAACCTGGTCTAGGATCTCTTGCAGCGATTTGTGTAATCTTTGGATGAAATCTTGCCCTTCTTGAGATCCAGCTAGCTCCATGTCGTACTTAATCATGGGCAAGCATTGGGCAGAGGTCTTGAGGACGACGATTTCGCGATCGGGCACAAGAACAGTGTTGGCACCATCAGTAGTTTGTTGCCCAAACGTTTTCATAGTTCCCAGTAAACGACCGACGATCAGTCCAGTGTTACCATAGCCCGCAAACTTTGTTGGACTGTTCCCAGTATAGACACCGTCACCATAAGTGCTGCCATGGAATCGGTGAGCTTGTATTCCTTGCGAATCTCGTTCGTTCCTGGTCATGAGACCATTTGTACGAATGCTGTTCAAATTTGTGGAATCGGTATAGTGGTATCCGATATCAACAAACCCGAGAATCCCAGAAGCAAGAAATTCGCGCTGCTTCTCCAATAGATTTTTGGCCAAGAAGACCATATCATCGGTGCTCACCGAGTCAAAGTTCTGAGCAAAGTTGGGATACTCGTTCTTGGCTTGGTCCTTGGTATTTTTGGTCAGTTCCAGAATCTCCTGAACCACAAGGACGGCTTTACCATAGGGGGACTTGGTCATTGCTTCATGTTCCTTCTCAGCATCTGCCTTCTTGAGTTGATATTCTTGCTCTTGAAGCATAGCCGCTAGTTGATAGTCCAATTTTCGCTGCGGAGAAGAAGAGAGCAAAGCGGAACAATTTGGAATGTTTGGGTTGAGATTTTGTATATCTTGGTTGGTCTGTCGCCGCTTTGAATCCGTAACATTATCAACTCCAGGTTGGTATTGACGCTTTCTGGGTGTAGTAGGAGGAGAAGTTGGCAATGCTGCGGGCTTGCAGTCATTGTTAGTACCAACCACGATTGCCTTCTCTTTCATCCTTGTTGAAATTTTTGGTGTCTCTCCTTCTCCTTTAAGGTACACATGGGGATCGACGTCTGAGTCTATTGCAGTGGGTGGGCTCTTCCTATTGCGCGCTACAGCATTGGTGTTCGCTGTATCTTCTGGAGACTCTTTTGTTATTTTGACCGCAGCGTTTTTGGATCCTTCTGAAGCCTTCTCGCAGTTACTGAGAGACGCAAGGAGACCGTCATCTGAAGAGTCAAATGTAGGTCTCTTCCGATTGGCAGTCGCAGCTACCGCATTCGCTGACGGTGGATCCAAAAAAGATCCTTTTTTGGATCCATCTTGAGATTGGTGTTGCCACTGCTTTCTTTGTCTATGAGACGGCAATGCGGCCGGCTTGCGGTCGTCCTCGCTATCAGTCGCTTTCGACTCCTCGTGATTGCTTGGCATCATTCTTCAAGCAATAGTCTTCTGCCTCTTCATTGCAAAGATCCACTTTTTGAGCCATCCTCACAGTAGGTGGAGTGGGCTATGTGACCATGGGGTCATACAAGGATGGGCGTCACAGATTCTCTACTTTGAAAAAAATAGTATCAACGGATCGGCATTTTTCAAACGTGCCATACCACAAGGTCGGTCACGTGGAATAGTAGGTATTGCAGCAATAACAACCCATTCATCTTGGAGAAAAACTCAGCCATGACAGCTTAGTTTATCGAAACTGGTTGAATTGATTTGTTGTTGATGCATAGTATCTTCCTGTTACACGACTGACTGATGTCACTGTTACCTGCTTGTGTCACCTGTCACCCTCAGATGGATTTCGCAACCGTGCCTACAGTAGTACCTAGCAAATCTCAGATTTCCCGCTTTGTACGGGATTTCTAAGACTAGATCGGGCTCCCTTAAAATACAAGGAAGATACAATTTCGAAATTGAAAACCACAACAGGACTGGTGCATATTAGTTCTTGCTAAAGTCATCCTATTATTTGAAGCTATTCTGGTACTACTATTGGTAGACTTGCTCATCTTTCCTAATTTCTAGTGTTGCGTAGTAACCAATTTTTGTCCATTCACATCAAGTAGATTTGTGGCGGGTACATTGGCGCTATCTAGCTCTCCATTGCAGTTGGCAAAGTAATTGGGATCAGGAAATCCATGCACTCCTCTATTTGGGGACGTCTTGTGATGAATTGACGACCATGTGCATTGGTTGGTAGCACCCGTCGTCATTGATGTACCAATCGTAAATGTCAGTCCATGGAGAAACGCAAACTTGAGTCTCTTGAGAAGATTTCGACCGCCAGCATTGTTTGGAAGGTAGGCAGTTTCGTGCTTGCCAGGATGGGGTTGTCCTGGATTCTCGTGGTAGTGCTTTTGGGTTCCTGCCTGCATGGAGTACACAATCACAATCGTGTCCCAAGTCGCAAATCCGCTGCATTTTAGATTATCAGTGATAGGGGGGACGTTAATAGACATGGATCCGGACGGCGATTTCCCTGATGGTGTCCCGAGGCATTTGCGACAAGTGGGACATTTGGAGCCAAACTTGCAAGCTTGCTCGATGCAGTCCTTGTGAAATACATGGCTGCACACCTTCAAAGCAACACAAGACCGAGGATCAGAAAGGGCATCTTGACAAATAGCACAGTCACTCTGAAAGTCACATGATGGAGGAGGAAGGCAAAAGGCTTCGGTTGGGTTGACAGCACCAGAGAGCCTTTCTGGAGCAATGTATCGAAGTACAGCTTGTGGCATTGTTCCATTTTGTTGATTGATTCTGCCTCTATTCCCGCCGAATCCATGAGTTGTGGCAAAGCCTGGGATGGTTGTAGAAGCCGAACCCATACCAAAAGCCCTACCAACCGCAGCACCAAAAGGCTGGGTAATAGGAGGAATCCCACCAAATGGGGCATTGGAACTAGAAGAGGAATTCTTCTGTGCATTGCGAAGAGATGGGTGAATCGGCAAAGATGCTGGAGGAGGTACCGTCATAGTGCCACGGTTCCCATTGTTTGCAGCCGCTCCTGTATCAAAAGACATTGGTGGTGCTGTCAAGCCTCGATTGAAGACTTGGTCGAGGATCTGCTGTAGCGATGTGTGTAATGCTTGGATGACTTGTTTCCCTTGTTCCGATGTAGCTAGCGTCTTGTTGTACTTGATCACGGGCAAGCATTGGGCCGAGGTCTTGAGGACAACCATTTTGTAATTGGGTACCAGGACAGTATTGACGCCATCACTAGTGTGCCCAAACAATTGCATAGTTCCTAGTAAACGGCCGACGATCAATCCAGTGTCACCATAGTTCGAAAACTGTATTGGATTGTTCCCAGTATACACACCGTCACCATAAGCACTTCCATTGAATCTATTCGCTTTGACTCCTTGTGAATCTCGTTCGTTCTTAGTCATGAGACCGTTTGTACGTATGCTGTCCAAATTTATGGAATTTGTATAGTGATATCCTACATCCACAAAGACAGAGCTTGATCCAGTAGCAAGAAAGCTGGCTTGTGTCTCCAGGAGATTTTTTGCCAAGAACACCATATCATCTGTGCTAACCGAGTCAACATTCTGCGCAAAGTTGGGATACTGGTCCTTGGTCTTTTTAGTCAGTTCCAGAATCTTCTGAACTACAAGGATGGCCTTACCATAGGGCGACTTGGTCATTGCTTCATGCTCCTTCTTGGCATCTGCCTTATTTTTCCTGCTATTGGCCTCATATTCTTGCTGTTGCAGAATAGTCGCTAGTTGAAAGTCCGAAGACTTCCGCTTCGCAGAAGAAGAAGGCAAAGCTGAACAAGTTGCAATATTTGGGTTGAGGATTATTTTGTACAACGCCTTTATGATAAGAGGAATATAATCCTGGTGGCGGGCTTACCTTGGGTCCGATTCCGTTGCTGTGAAGGAGGAAGCACCCAACATTCTTCATCATCACCACTATCACTATCTAGCATCACTATGATATCTTGGTTGTTGGCAGATTTTGTGCTGGTAATAATTCTTGTATCAACGACGATGACATCTTGATTGATCTGTTGGCGCTTTGAGTCATCACCATCATCATCATCCACTCCAGATCGGTGTCTTTTCCGTCCAGGATAAGTTCCTGGCAATGCTGCGGGCTTGCAGTCATTGTCGCTATCAATCTCGATTACCTTCTCTTTTATAGTTGCGAGTGCCTTTGGTTCCTTCTCTTCACCCTTCAAATACGCAACAAGACCGATGTCCGAGTCATCGTCCGAGTCTAGTGCAGTGGGTGATGGTTTCTTCCGCGTTTTGCGCGCCACGGCTATAGTGCTAGTCGATGCATTTTGTGGATGTTCTTGTGTGATTTTTGCCGCAGCCCTTTTGGATATTAAATCCTTGTCGTCACCCTTGAAATAGGCAACTAAGCTATCATCCGAGTCATCACCTGCGCCAAATCCAGTCGCTGATGGTTTATTCTTTGGCAAAGATCCTTGTATTTCTTTTGAGGAGGATTGGTGTCGCCGCTTTTTTCGTCGAGGAGAAGGCACTGCGGCAGGCTTGCAGTCGTCATCGCTATCAATCACTATCGATTCCGCTTGATTGCTTGACATAATCATGATTGATTCCAATAATTGGGCGTTTATCTATTTTGCAAAATAGTGTATCGTGTGGAGTGGTTGCTTATTTTTGTCGTTTCAGGCCATGAAATGAAGTCTCCATACGCGCGGTTGCAGTCAGGTTTTGAGGAGTAAGGGCATGCTTTAGTCCCACTATCCGTTTCTCAGTCGCCTTTTATCGATTTAGATAGAATACCTGTTCTGTAATATCTGCGCCTGCAAAGTAGAGATGTTGCAATCGTTACTACAGTACCGGTATATCGTACTTTGTTGTTACGGTTTTTAAAAGTTGGTTTTGTTTCGTTCGAAATTTGAATATGCGCTGTGATGTGCGCGTGCTTGAAAATAATCTTCTTGTACTGGTATAGTCCTATCGGTACTCGTACCTATTATATTTTCATTTCAACACAAACACTTGTATTCCATTCGAGTGTTCCAACAACCTAGACTGCAGTAGAACCCGGGTTTTGCTCAACGCCACAAATATGCCTCCTCCTCCCCCACCGCCGCCCCCACCACCGAAACTAGGCTCTGTTCCTGCGGGTAATAATCATCCTCTCGCTGCCCAATCGGTTGCAACTCCAGGAGTGTCATCCATGAGCATACCCAAACCAGATGCACCCGGTGGGCTTGCAGCTCCCACCAGTCCTCCACTGCGCAGTCCCGTGCCAATAAGATCTGCTTCTCCTCAAGTCAAGGTGACTTCTGCCGCCGTATCCCCAGCTAGAACACTTGACGCTCAGGCAGATGCCTTTCTCTCGGCACCCTCCTATCGGACCAATCAACTTGGTTTGGAACCGGCGTTACGTCCATTGCCACTTCCTCCTGGAGAAGGAATTGAAAGAGTTCGGACGCTTGTGGAAAGGAGGGCCTGGGGAGATGTGCTCAAGTTATCCGCAAATGTATTGCAATCGGGCAATCCTCATGCGGACGTGTACTCGTCCCTATTGCTCTTGCCGACAATGGCACCGAAAAGTGACGTGGAGACATTACCTCTGGCAATGAAATTGGAAACAGTGGAAGTCATGGCGCTGTATTGTCACGCCTTGTTGAAACTTCGAAGGTATGCCGACTTGGAAAAGGAGGTGGCAAAATGGAACTTTTTGTTTCAGAACGAAACCAATGTGTTTTCACCAGATTGGTTGCCATGGAGTATACGTAAGTAGAGAGAGGTATTAACACTCTGCGTGTTTTCCATTATTGGTCCTATCGTTTCCTAACCAACCTAGCGCTTTGCGCTCGTCACAGATATACTGGGAGCGCAATCATTGCAGTACACTGGGGACTTTGATCAGGCAGCAGATGTGCTTCAGGATTTGCAGAGTCGAATCCCACAAGAAGATGCATCGGCATTGGCATCCGTCAACATTGCTTTGGCCAACTTGTACATACGGCAAGAACAATGGCGACTTGCCCTTGGTACGTTGGACCGAATCACGGATCTAATTCCAGCGGCGACCGAATTGGAAATTCAATCCAAATATTCCACCGCTCCCAACCCAGCCGCACTCCAATCCACATTGACCGCTGCCTACCAGTGCGAGGTTCGTTTTCGCCAAGGCAAAGCACTCTTGCAAATTGGTGCCTTGCCACAAGTGGCCGAACTCTTTGAATATGCCCGAAACGAGTGGACCGCGGCCAATGCAAATATTCCACCAGAGTTGGCATCGCATCCAGCCGTGGGCCTCATGTTCTGTCAAATGGAGGTGAACGAAGGCCTATTTTACTTTGCGCAAAATGACTATGATCATGCTTTGTCTTCCTTTTCCAATGCTGTGGATATTTTGCGACGTATGGATTTGTTGACTCACAAGTACAATCCCGATGCCTATCTTGGAACTGGCGTTGTGTGTTTGGATGAACCAAATGAGCTCTATAGTGAGTGTGTCAATAACCTGGCCCTGTGCAATTTGTACACTTGCAAGATGCAAGATGCCGTGGGTCAATTGGAAGATTTGGTCCGCTCGGATCCAACCGCATTCTTGACCGAGAGGGTTGCCTTCAACCTTTGTACCTTGTATGAGCTGGGTGCGGATTCTGCAGTCAGTGCTCGAAGGAAACGCGTCCTACAACTCATTGCCAAGAGATTCTTTCTGCACGACATTGGTCCAGAAAGCTTCCGAGTGTCCTAGGTTAATATCTTGAGTATGTATTATATTATATGTGGAACGAGACTAACCCCATTTTTAATTAAAAAACGAGGATAACTCTAGGACTACTCACTCATGGTTTCACACTATCATTTCTATTTTCTTCTTGCCGGCACGCAATTTTTCCGTTTTGCAAATCAACTACTTGTATTAGGAAATTGCACAATTGACCTCCATATTCGTGGCACACTGTCGTAACTCTTTCCCATGGACCGGCATCACATCTTTTCCGAGGTCCAAAGCATGCTTGCGCTTCATAACTTCCTTCCACGTATCTAGTCAAAATTCAGTTTGTCAGGTTTCATTGACGACGATGATGATACAACTCGGATGTCGCATACGACCAATCAGTACATACCTTGTGGAAGTGGACGATTTGGACCTCCAAAATGCGGTGGACTGACTTCACTCTCCCATTGCAAAACTAGGCTTCCATGATGCGCATACCAAATCATTCCAGGTTGCACCATGCCATTTGGATACGTCCCTTTCGTTACATGATCCGTCACATGTGCCTCTTCTGGAGTCATAGTCTTGAGATCTTCCAGAATGCAGTCTTCGACAAGATAGTTGGCAAGTGCGTTTGTGTCATCGCCAATAACCTCGTCAAAACCGAACTTGGTGGTCAAACCCCACTCCTCGTCAGCCTGCTTTGCCCCGTCAGCGCCTTCACTAGTCCATGCAATCAATTTAAGGTGCTCTGATTTGATTGTCTCATTGTTGTATTTTCCAAGCTTCTTCAAATAATATTTGTCGTATTTGCACCAGTGGCCACGAAAGATGACGATGCCGACAAAATCGTTGCTCTCGGTAAGATCACGTAGCCATTTCTCAGGGTCAGTGACGTATAGCGGTTTCTCTTCACTCATTGTTGTTGTTTTTTCTTCTTTTTTTGATATTATGTGATGTATTGCTTCTGGATTCAAAGGAAGGCAACGGTGATGACAACTGTCATGTAGTGATCGAAAACCGGATGGAATGTGTTCTTCTGATCGAGTTCTCATTCTTATTTTGGTGGTATTTTCCACATTTATGCGGAAACATGGACATCATTGATAACCCGGAGCGACAGTTCTGGTTGGAGTGAAGAGAACACAGAGGAAACAAGCGCTACTAGAAGGGTGCCGCCAAACCAGAAGCTGCAACGATGAATGACGATACAGGCAAAGTAGCAATGGCCAAGGTAGCAACGGTGAAATTAAAGTCTTCCCATGTGCATACGGTACATTAAATGTCTTGGTACAAGAAAATGCGACCATCAGCTCCAGCTGTGAAAAGCCAAGGCTGGGTAGGGTGGAAGGAAAGATTAAGAACACCCAACTTCTTCTGGATGCTGTGGCCCCGTAGAATCTTCACTGGAATAATGAGTGGATTGCGCATCAGATCTGAGTACACCATGCTGTGGAATACATGGACTGCTCCATCGTCCGAAGCACTGGCCATCAGTGGGTACCGATTGTGAAATTTGGTCGATCGGAGCGCCCTTTCGTGGTACTTTAGTGTCTTGAAGGGTGTGTGAGAAAGGTCCAAATCGAACCAAATCATGCGTCTATCGAGACTGCCCACAATCAAGTGGTCTCCAGAAGGATGCACGTCCAACGACGAAATCCAACGGCATCCAGATATCAACCCTATAAAAATATTTCGAGAGTAGAAGAAGGATGATTAGAACAGATTCACGACTGCCGGGATCAGAAACAGTATTGTAGACTTACGTTTCACCATAGCTTGCTTTACGAGATGATATACTCGGACGTGTTGCTGGGTGGCAACAAAGAGGAATGGCTTGCTGGGGTGGAAACAAGCGGTTTGGGCCTCTCCCTTGGCCTTGCTGAACGGCTGTTGGGAGTTTCCCTTGCTCAATTGGTGGATTAAAACCGACGGGGCTCCTGCTTTGGGACTGACAGTCACAAAGTAGTCTCCTTTGGTATGCCATCGCAGACTGGCAACTTCGTTGCGGGTGAGAAGAGCACAAATTGGGCCGCTCGAAAGTCCAAAGGAGCTCACTGGTTTACTTTCGGATTTGACAGAATGCCATTTTACTGCTTTTGCAGCCTTTTCGGTTTTGATATTGCCGCCAGTCTTGGCTTCGCTCAAAAGTGCCTCGGTAATAGCAGCATCATGGACACCTTCTGTGCCTGTGGCAAGCAGGATTGCACACTTTCCAACGGCCGCAAGCATACAATGATGAGCAGCATTTGGATTCCATTCCAGTGAAACGACGGGTTTAATCGAATCGTCATCCTCATCGCAATCGGGATCAACAGACTTCGAAACCTTCGACAAGTCCCAACTGCGAAGAAGACGGCCAGTCTCAACTTCCCAAAGTCGGACAATTCCATCAGAAGCGCCGCTTGCCAAAAATTGACCATTGGGGCTGCAGCTGACGCATCGGATAACTGGAGCGTCGTCGCCATCGTACGGTGTCTTGTACTCGATACACTTTGCTGTAGGAAATGGTCGCAAATCACTGGCCTTTGGAAGCTTCGGAACAAGGCTCTCTGGATCAATATTCAAACGCCGCTTCATCACCCGAGGACAAAGGTAGAGATCCAAACAGCGCTCAAATGCCTCACGGACCGAGTGCTTGTAAGCTCCAACAGACCGAAGATTTGGGAACTTTTTAGGAACCAAAAGGCCATGAGGTCGGTCTTTGGGTTCCATTTCTTCCCACTCCTTGAGTTCCTCTTCTGTGGGAACGTATTCATTTGGTGGGATGTAACTCTCTGCATGTCCTGGAGGGGCGACCTTTGGTGCTGCAATGTGTTGGGGTCCCTTTTTCATATTCAGTTCATCTTCTTCTGCTCCCGTCCAAAGCAAAAAGGGCGCATTTGGATCCTTGTTCTTGTTCGCATCGTTCATGTCACGAACCTTTCCAGTCAAGTAATCCATGCTAATGTATCCCTGTTCCAACTTTCGGAGTAAGTTATCGACCTGCATTTTCTCCCATTTACTTGGCTGGAATTTAGACTTTGGCAAGTAACGATTGTCATTCAAACCCGAAAGCTCTGGATCCACACCACTGAAGTAGTCAATATAATCTGGGTTTCCGTCATGTTCAGGATGAGCGTAAGCTCCATTCTGAATTCTTCTGATAATCTCCAATTGTCGTTGCGTCAGTTCAACCGACTTATCGTTGAGCGCATCATGTACAACAAACTTTCCAGTCAACTGATTATCAGCATTGGCAATAGCTTGATCCACTCGATCACCTTCAGTCTTGCTTGCAGACTTGGCAACTTTCTTTCCATGTCCGTCGTATCCAATGTGTTCAAGGTCGTCATACCAATGAAGAGGAACTCTCCCGATACGATTTCCGGTACCATCTTCGTCTTCATCATCAGAAGACAAGTCATCAGTATGCATTAACTGGGACTCTGCTGTTCCTTTCCTAGGGTTCCCAGTTGCACTTCGTTTCCCGCTTTTCCATTTGCGTGGAGCCGACTCGTATGTCTGTTCAAGATCTTCGAGCTCATTCATCTCGTCACCAGAACCATCATCTTCGTGCTGCTTTTCCATAAGTTCCTCGTCTTCGTCTGATGATCCTTGATCTTCGAAATCATCGTCATCGTCATAGGCATCAGATACATAGACATCGGATCCTTCATCTTCTTGTTGTGAACCGTCACCATCCGATCCATCATAACTATACTGACTAGAACCGTCCGAGTTCTCTCCCTGGTCGACAGATTCAAGGTCTGGAGTTTCCTCCTCGACCTCTGCCTTTTTGCTCTTCTTTCCTTGAGGCTTCTTGCGTGCCATATCGTTGTCACTTCAAAAAGAAAAAGAACAAGGGGTGTTTGTTAGACAGATGTCTCGCCGTTATGACTCGTATGAATACAATAGAAGAAGCACATATAGTGCGTTCCGACCAAAAGGTCATGCAAATCAGCCTTAAGGACGGCGAAAAGTCAAAATGCCTAGTCTCGAGCAAAACGCTCGAGGCCAAGGCGAAGACCCGTATTCTACCGGAGTGTCTGGGCTACAAAATCATGGAAAGGAAATAAATCCTTGAAACAGTAGCAATGATTCTCCGGAAACAAACCAACAAAAAGCAACTATCAAGCTTCCATCGCTTACATTTTCTTTGAAATAAAGATTTGTGTTTCTGGGTCTTCATGGGTGGAGACGATTGAGGGTCGCGCAGAGTGCGCGAAAAGAAGCACACTCGCCTATTTTATATAAATGGATGCGTCTGAACGTCTCCCGCTTTGGCCATTTTTGAACCACAATAAGATTTCACTGCGCCATGCATGGTCGTCATGGATATCAACAATGGGTCGGAAGAAGACCAAGAAGCAAACTTTAAAAAGTCCCGATGAGGATTCAGTCGACATCTTAGTACAAATATTAGAAGATGCTGGTATTTTCCAGAAAAACGGTGCAGAAGAGGGTTCCTGGGAGACCTGTTCCAAGTCCATCGAAACCCTTGCTATAAAACTGGAAAAATACCGGTCAAACAATCGTAATTCTGATGCTATCGGCGAGTCTGCGGTCATGATGGTCTTGGATATTGAAGAAGCGACACGAATGGTCCGCCAAGATGCGAAAACTCTAGAGATCGAGATCGAAGCACTGGATTCGGGACTGCAGTTGTGTCGAGATCTTGAGTTGTCTAGCCGACAGCTCTGTACGTTGGCAAAATCACTTAACGGGGCAATATCCAGGCAGAAATGGACGGCACAAGACACACTTTATGATTTAATACAAACACTGGACAATCTCTACAGTAAAACAGAGGATCAATCTTCGACGAAAAGTACCTTGACAAATAGTGCTTCTCTTTTTCGCAAACGTTGCATTGAGGCAAGACATTCGCCATGGAGAGAGGCGTTGTCAGTGTTGCAAGATGATTATGAATCTAATGTGATTGCTCCAGAAGTATTGGAGGAAGTTATTGCTTTTGGATTTGAGCCGAAGCACAATAAATTGCAGCTGGACGACAAGCAGCTATCTTCCGTGATTACTCACACCACCATATTTGATGCAGTACAAGCATTTGCATCTGGAACGGGCATTTCACATGCATCCTTTACTTCGGTCCTATTGCTTGGCCCAGAAGGTAGCGGAAAAACTCAATGTTGCGATGAAATCGAGAGGATGGTCAAGTCAATGATAAATGGTAAATCTTCGTTGGCCCCATGTGTTCTGTCTTTTCTTGGGTACTCACCAGTTTCACCCTTTCACCATCTCAGTTATTCGACCAACCTTGCCGTATGATATTATGGGGAAAACTATTGGTGCGACGGAAGATATCCTTGTTTCCATCCTTTTAGGGTCTCCAGAGCCATCGATAATCATCCTCGATGATATCGACAAAATTCTTGGATCAAACTACTTTTCTTCCGCCACTCCAACTGGTGGTCCTAGTGGTGATGCCACAAGCGGACAACAGGTAGAGCCCCATGTCACAACAAGATTGCGCTCCTTATTTCTTTCATTACTGGATAGGCTGAAAATGGCAAGTGGTAGTTCCAATCAAACCTTGCTGATTTGCACGTCGGTTGTGGATTTGGGCAAGTCAGTTGGTAGATTTGACAAGACATACCACCTTTCGATTCCCGACGAACAAGTGCGACAGGCTATAATATTCCGTTGCATTGGAACACTGAAAGGCTTAAGAAGTGCAAATTCCGCTCTTCATACGGTACGGGATACTGAAAGACTCTTCGATAATATCGTTGAATGTACAGCCGGGTTATCATATGCTGAGTTAGCACAAAATTGCCGCCAAGCAATGCTTGCAAGTTGCAAACAGTACGAGAGCTCCCAACAGACAACCAGTCCTGAGGTATTGTTTCTAGTCACCTTGAGAGAGCAGGTACAAATGTCAACCCCGAATTCCCTTCGCAGTGGATTCAATGCGGACTCTTTGGACATGAGGGTGATGTCGGGAAAAGATCTACTGGAAATGTCAAAGAATGGTCAACATCAAAGCAATTCATTTCCATTTCCATTGTTTGGCAAAAGCGCTGGAGAAGCATGGGAGAATATTCGGAGAACAGTTGTGGTACCAATCTGTCAGGCAATGGCACTCAAGAACTTGATATATCATACTGGGGGGCAAGGGGGCAGGATATTTTCAGGCGGCGTGCTTCTGACGGGTAAGCCTGGCTGTGGTAAATCTGCTTTGGCCTATCATGCTGCCATGGTGGCTTCCAATTTGAACCCAGCTGTTAAGCTGGTCGACGTTAGTTGTACTTCACTCATATCCAAAGAAGTAGGGAGCTCAGAGCGCTCCGTCCATCGACTGTTTGAAGCGGCGAGGGCAGCTGCACCATGCATTCTACTAATGGACGGGATTGAAAACGTTGCTGCTGTTCGAGGCAATGACAACACGACGGAAGGAACCATGGATCGTGTCCTTTCTACCCTTCTTGTAGAACTGGATGGTGTTAACGGCGAAAAATCTTCCGAAGACAATGGCGCCGGTTTTGCTGTCATTGGCATCACGCATAACTCGAAGTGGATCGATCCTGCTCTGCTACGTCCCGGAAGGCTTGGGCACATCATCGAATTGGGGTACCCCGAATATGAGGCGAGAAAGGAGATTGTTCTGCGTGAGTTCAAGGGTGCCGAATGTGTCGACGATAGCTCGGAATATGGTTTCAAGGATGTAAAGAGTCTCTCAGACTTCATTGCATCGAAAACAGAGGGATTCAGTGGCGCAATCATCATTGCGGTCTGTAATGAAGCAAAGATGTTGTCGTCGAGAGCGCTGACTAAGGAGTCAACACATATGGAGCTGAGACCGCAGCACATCTTATCGGCTATAGAAGCTAGAACAGGCGCTATACCGTAACAATGAGTTTATTGGAATGAATCAACTTGTAGCATTTAGTGCCAATGTAAACCATTTGAATGGAGTCATTCCGCCTCTTCCAGCAAGTCTTTCTCGTTGTCGACTAGGTCCTCATTTTGTATTTTGAGCTATTTGCCCTTTGGTCTGATTCTAATCATTTGGGAACAAACGATTGCATCACAGCCAATGAGGATGCAAACTATACAAGTAGAAAGATCGAGGGAAACTGATTCACCGAAACTTCCAACGCACCTGGAATTTGCCTCCTCGGAAGCAATTGCTATTGAAGGAAGTTTGGATTTTGTCATTTGCAGTTTGCTTGCTCTGCTCCCAAACAGTAAGCAGCCTTTCTTTCCTCTCTGGAATCGGATGAACATTTCACGAATTCAGTGTAATCTTGGTTTCCAGTCTAGATACTGATTCCGCAGTCATCGAGAGACTGCTTCAATGTTAAGCGTACCGGTAGTAGTAATCAAGAAGTTGGTCTTTGATAACCTACGGCTCTGCTCTAGCTGCAATATGATGCTTTATTTTACCGCTGATGTATTGCTTTTTTGATAAGCCTTTTATGAATGCTATGTTTTCCTTGCTACGAAGTTCCACGAGCTGTCCGCCCTCTTTACGGTAGCAGTGTCACTGACTTAAAATATTCACTGCTTCTTCTTACAAACGAACCGATGCGATCGGAACATCTCGGACGGCAGTGCATATTCGGTCAAGATTGGCCTTTTCCTGGCACTATGGGACAAAGGAACAGTACATATTTTCCGCAAAAATGGGATGTTGGATAGTTCGAGTTTCGAGTGATCGATCAGCAGGTTAAATACTTGAAGATTTTTCTACTCCCGCAGTCGTACTTGGTTTTATATTTACAAGTTTCTGAGGTTTTCTGCTTCTCTGTTCTGTAGGCTATTTCCCATACATAACACCGGCCACCACAACAGAGTTTGCTCTAACGATATTGTCAAGTACTAACTGCACTGTACACGTGTACCGCTGATGTACTGTTCAAACTGTTTTTCACGGAAATCGATCCAATTCGCTCCGTTCCGATCACCAGTGCCGTTTGGTACTACTGAACCGCGTCTTCAGCACTTAGCACCCGATAACTAGCAGAATCATCTGTTTCTTGTGAAGCACATTCCTTTTTCCAAAGACAGCACTGTAGGTAAGCGTCCTGTTGTTTTGTTGGGAAGCATTCGGAAAGTCATTGTTCACTTCTGGCCATGCTGATTCTGCAATCAACAATGCTGTTGAACGACCGGACTTGTCTCTCGAACGAAGACAAATGACCACTTTTCTTTGTTTCTTTCAAAGTTCGTTGCATTGGCGGTTACTCGACGTCTCTGATAACTCAATTGTTCGGTAAATACTTCCTACCAATCTCCTCACCTCGTTCGTCTTTGCATCCTCTCGAATACCATTACAGGAACTATTCCGCCTCTTCCATCCAGTCTTTCGACGTGTTACTTCGGTACGTTTCTTGTAGTGTTTTAACATATTTGTCTTTGATTCTGATCCATCCGTTTCGTCGTATTCTCTGAGTCATGTAATTGGATCCATTACACTAGCAGAAAGACCGAGAAAAACTTCTTTAGCGACACAACCAATGCACCTGGTATTTGCGTTCTCAACGGCACATGCTAGTAAAGGAATTTTTGACTGGATCAATTGTAGTCCCGCTTGCTCTGCTCCGGAACAAAAGGAACGATGTCTTCCTCAGTGGTATCATACATAAATTTCATCAATTAAGTGTCTCTTCTGTTTCCAGCATAGTCACTCACTCACTTCGAAGTCATTATGACAGAATGTTTTACGATCATCGAGTGACAGTTTCAATCAGAAGAGTACCTGTACAAGTAGTCGATAGTGCTATTGTAATCTACCCGTAGTAACGACTTTACTGCAGTCTTGCTAATTTTCCTTGTCCACGCATTGCTTTTGGAATTATTCGGATGCATACGATGTATTTTGCTGGCTACAAAAGGCCAATGAGCTCTCGGCCATCCTCTCACATAACAGTCAATGCGTATACATTGGTTTCCTCACCACGCTCGGTATAGCAAACCTTCAAACCAGCTTGATGAAAGAGTAATCGGTGATGGTTATCAGTTCTTGTGATGTCATACCTCTCATTGCCCCCCTGTGGCATGTCCATTTGAAACCTATCTTCCCGCTGCGTTCCATATGGACGATTCTCCTTGACAATCAAAACTCCTGATCCTTCCCGCAGCCCACCGGCCAAGACTTTCAGACAGTCGACCACGTCGGTATCAATGAGATATTGCAAGGTCCATTGGACCCACATGAGATCGGCTGGTTCTCCCCAGCCTTGTACATCCGCCTTGGTCAACGTGTCGAGCTGAAACGTAGGGAAGAAATGAAACTTTCAAGATGAGAGAGCAACAAACAAGAACGATTCAGCATTATAACGATGACTCACGCGTTGGTGGCTAAAGCTGCATCGAGAAGATCGCTTTCTTCCTAGATAGTTCCTCGAACGTTTGGACCATCCTCCATCGGCTTCTACAAGTCGAACTTCTCCGTATCGTTTCAGCAGGAGCAATTTAGTCAACCTGCCGACTCCTGCACCGAGATCGACGGCATGATCAAAACGACGACGTTGTCGGCGGCGATTATTCTGATGTGAGCAAGAAGGTTGCTTCATCGCTTTGTCTTGGTTCGTCGTCTCAAGGGCAAGAAAGCGATCTAAAAAGGCGAGGCCCTCCTCAGCATCTTCTTGACCGCCTTCATCTCCAACCATGGCCTGCTCATTGGTGCTTCCGTTGCATCCTTCATTAGCCCAATACAACGAGTTTGCCTTGTACATTTCCTCTTGATTGACCTTTTGAAAGGATAACAATTCGTCGTGGCAGCTATAAAATTGGCCCATGTCATCGATTCCCTTGATGGATTCGGGACAAATCTGATGGGAGGATCGTTCTTTGGCACTTTTTCGAACATTGCAGCTAGACAAAGAACTATGATATCCCTCGTCCACCCCAGCACTTGCTGGCTCAATAGATAGAGTTTTCTTCTTTCCTTTCCTTGTCATGATATATAATGAGATTATAAATTATGGTACGGTTTCGTAGTCAGAAAGGCTAGCCTGTAGTATTGTATGGACAGAAGATGAACAATGTCAACAGTCAACTTATGGTGAACGTAACTCAACAATTGCGGAGAAGATGTTGAAGGCAAATAGAGAACGAATCCATATTTCCTGCACAGAATTCTTTTTTTACGAACGAAGTTAGATCCCTACGTACTACGAACGTTGACAGATGTTCATCCTTCTGCTTCGATATAATATATTTTGATCACGTCTTTTGGTGGATGAGAGAAGGGTCGACGTGCGCGCAACGCAGAACGTATAATACACATACCGTAATATATTTTATAAAAACACACGCATCGCAGTAGTTTTATCGTCTTGTTGAAGGAACGACTACTGTACAGTATGAAGATGTCGCTGAAGGCAGAAATTGATTGAATCAATTCTAAAAATGAATCGAAAGTACAAAGTAAAATGCAGATGAAGAGTAATCATTGGATACTCTAACCGATGTACCACATAATAACGATATTTTAAAATATCTCAAAATGTTGAATAGGAGTACGGCAAACTTTTTACAAGGATTTAAGGAGTCCCAAAATCGTTGCATTGCAAACAGAAGGATTGGTTCATTCAGTATTACAGCACTTACTACTGCGGCCTGTATTGATGCAAAGGATGGAGGTGTTGTGCAGTCCTTGGAAACCTTTTTTTAAAGTACACATCAGTCTTTTCAGATTATAATACATTCCGTTGCATCTCTGCTGCTGCCAATATGGGTCAGCTGTCATAAAGGAAACACTTCGTCTTCATTTGCAGGGATGACAACGGCAGATCTTTTGACCAAGACAGTCGTCGCCGGCCAAGCAGGTCGAAGGGATATCAGTCGAGGTTCACTCAAAATTCATAGCGTTGTCTTCCTATTTCATCGTATGGGTCAGCTGTCATAAAGGAAACACTTCGTCTTCATTTGCAGGGATGGCAACGGCAGATCTTTTGACCAAGACAGTCGTCGCCGGCCAAGCAGGTCGAAGGGATATCGGTCGAGGTTCACTCAAAGTCATAGTGTTGTCTTCCTATTTCATCGTCCTCCCGACAAACCTTGGCCATCGCAGCCATTGATTGATTGACTTGTTGATTCGACATACAGCCGTATCAAACAATCATGCAAGTTGTGTGTAGTCATTGGATAAACACCACCATTTCAGTGCAAGAGAGGGGTTTTCAGTCCGTCACAATAATCATTTTGAGGTTGCCAATGAGGATCAAATGAATCGAATGAAGCCAGTCGGACCGGCCAGCATAAAAAACGTACAGTATGACCTTCTGGGTTCTCTGGAACCGTATTTAAGTACGGTAGACATAGACTAAAATGTAGTACCTCCTGGAACGGCCGGGAACGGTGGTCGGAGTGGTCGGCGAAATGTTTGGGGAGAGACTGGAAAAGGAATCAATCTGAGGGTTGCGGAATTTCAAAAAATTGGACATTCGAACACCCGATTCAACTCTCCAGATGAATAAAAAAGGCTGTCTTCTCTATCGCAGGAGTTAAAAAAATTGGCCAACGGTTCGTCCATTCTGTTCCGGTGCCACCAACGTGAATCATGTAATATAAAAGTAGTGGAAATATCTGTTTTATTCAATCTACTACAAAATACAGTAGCCGCGAGAGCGCAATGACCGGCTGAGTGATGATTGACCGCAACGAGCCAGTCGAGCCGTGGTCAATTTGACCACGAGCCAATCGAGCCGTGGTCAAATTGACCACGAGCCAGCAGTAGAGCCGTGGTCAATTTGACCACGAGCCAATCGAGCCTTGGTCAAATTGACCATCCAATCATACTTGGACAAAATTCGAAGGGCACGTGGTTTTCCAAACAATACCCAATCATACTTGGACAAAATCCTAGGGCCCACGTGCCTCAAGACA